GAACATGGAAAACAATGTGAAGAAGAAGTTTTTAATATAAAGATGTTCATTAGAACAAGTACATAAAGAATGTGAATCAATTATTGATGAGTTATGTTTAAAATCTACTAAACCAACTGAAGATTTAACAAGTCGAGTTGAAAATACAGAATAAAAATACAACAATATCCAGTATTAGTCAAAGGTCGTGAACAACAATAATTCGATATAACGAATCTTAATAATGAAATTAAATGTGTAAATAATTTATAGACAAGGTATTGAAAGTAAATATCGATAATTAGAAACTTATATAGAACTTCAACAAAAATTTTCACGAAGAAAATCGTCAAAAAATGAATATATTAATTAAATCTCATCAACAAAATAATTTACTTAATGAATTAATGGATCAAGCATATGATAAAGAAGAAGAACATTATAAAATTGAAAGTAACCTTACACAATTAATAGAACAAAATAATTAATTATGTCGTCAATTTAAACATGAAAAAGAAACTATCCTTAAACAATTAGATGATAAGAACTTATTAAGTACAAAATCAAATAAAAAATATTCTAATTATATTGCTGATATAACTGTAGAATTAGAACATTATCGTTAACGTAGAATTGTACGAAATGTTGAAAACAACAACATTCATTTGATAAACGTATACAAGTTTAAAAAAGAAATTCAAAGATAAATTATGATAAGAATATGATGATAAAATGAATGTGAAATACACGAAAAAGAAACAAAACGTTTAAATTTTATTAAGAGATTTACAAGGAAGAAATTTAGCATATGGTGATTTACAAAAAAAAGTTTTAAACAATGACGTACTGAACTTGATTATATGATTTCAACTAAAGATGATATTGGAACAAATATTCATGAATTAGAAAGAATTAAACAAACATTTGATTAGAATGAATTTGTATTTTTAAGAGTGGTATTTTCTACTTCACTGTTTTTTGAGAGAAGATCCAGAATACCGGAGAACATTGAAATTTCATTGATCAGCAATGAACTAAAAAGGTTATTTTCGAAAATGATACTTGTCTTTTACCTTTTGAGAATTATAAGAGTTCTCTTGAGACTGTCAATTTTCATGTATTGAGTCTAGTGGCAGAGCTATGGGATGGATGTTTAGTGCTTTATGAACTTTTGAGGGTCCCTTACGAGATTGTTGAAAAATGTCTTTTATTCCTTGAGGAAACTCAACGTTTCCTTGTGAATCGTTGAGTCTTCTGACGAAATTTTCGAAAAATCTATTTTATTTGCTACAGGATTTTAGTCCCTTCTAGAGTAAAATGTTGGCTCAACCACTGATATTGATTTACAATGCGACGAACGAGCATAAGACTAATTTATCATGCCGAGTCGAATGGTGATATTTGTCTTTTCGATTCGAATTAATTTGCCTTTATCTCAATATTTCTTAGCGTCCTTATAACCATGTTGCAAGCATTGAGATAACATAGCTAAATCAGTTGGAATCTAAAAAGCCGAATGCCACTATTTGAAATCAACATGGTGAATTACTCTTGAACTCTTTTGGATGATTGGATTCCGATATTTAAGAACAAGCTAGACATGCATATCAATCTTGTGTAAATCGAAAGATTATCTGATTTGTAAATTACTGAAAAATAAAATTTCGATGCCTTGGATCTTTCCTGTTAAATGATAAAAACTGCAAATAGTTAAAAAAAACAGGAAAGCCGTAATTTCAATTTTTATATCACAGATAGAGCTGCATATTAGACAATCTTTTCGAAAATTTTAATCGGCCATAGGATCTGACCTGTCAAGTTCAATATCGCAGACACAGAGTTGTAATTAGAAGAGAGAGATCTTGATCTTTTTGGTTAGGTTAAGTGCAAGTTATAGAACGCAGAAGGGTCTATATTCCTGTTGAAATTTTCAATAAATCTTGAGAAATTATTTTTGATATATCCTTCTTATTTTCTATTCTTTGTGAAGATTTTTATTAAATTTTGTGTTTTTTTTTATTGCGAGTAAATTGAAACAAATAAACAATAATTTTCAACTATAAATGTACGCATAGGATCTTAGTCGAATATTTTCTACTCGCATACTGAACTAAAATGTGCCATGGTATATGGAACATTTCACTGTGATAGAAGATCCTTTATGGAATATATTTTGCTGAACAATCTCAAAACAGATTTTTAATACAAGGTTCGAATCCAGTCGTCTTCAATTTAAAATTTTTCTTGAGAAAACGAATAAGAATCACTTTTGAATTAGATTCGCTTTTATAATACACTAATGTTTCGTTTCATTTGTAAAGCAGGAAACGATAAGCTCTCGAAATCGAATAATCAAAAGTTCATTTTTTTTTATAGAACTATTTATTGATCTTGAACGTCGAATCTGTTTACAAACTTTTGTCTCTCGTCCGTCATATCACTACCCTTTATTCTGTTGTTGTTTAATTTTCGACTTGATCGACTGCCGAAAAGCAAGAATTGAGACTAGCAAATTGATCTTGTCGTTTGGTTAAGAGATAGGTCAGTCTATTTTTCAATTGATTTAAATATTGTACCTATTTCTGTGGTACCAATAGAACATCCTTCCGTGAATTATTGTCTGTAATCTCAAGAAATTGATTTATCTGCCTTTCTGCTTTAGTTATAGGATCGCGATATTTTTATTATAAGTTATAATTCAAATAAAATTCTTTTTCTGGCTAACTAGAGTATCCGTAGGACAGCCATATCTCAGTTATATTCCATAATTAAAATTGATTTGTTTTGTTTGATTTTGTGCTGGAGATAAGTGATGATGAGTCATTGTTTTCATACATTCTTAGATTTATGTTATGGTGTTGAAGATTCGTCTGTATTTCGAGTCAAATATAGCATATCATCTGATTGGAACAAAGTAGTCTTTAAATAATGAATAGCTGCTCTCAAAAATAAAAGGTACCCTACGAAACCAAAAATGGTTTCGTAGGTTTGCTACAGAATCTTTGAAAAAGTTTTCTGAACTCTTGATAATTATTTTAAGACTATCTCGGGTTTTTACGAAACCTTTTTGAAGGTTTCGAATGTATTGCAAAAATGATACTGTATGGTACCAATCTTTTTTCCAGTGTGATGCCTTCTCTTGATTATTGCATTGGAATCCTTCGATGTGCTTGCGCTTTTTGCAGAGTGATGGAGTGCATTTACAAGCAAGGAAATATCTTTTACATTGAACGAGACATTGAAACATTTCAAAGAAACAAAGAAAATGATATGAAATGTCTTGAACTGATTCCATTAATGATTACATTGAACAAGAGGAATAATATATTTCTCTTTCGGCATCGCAATAAATAACAAAGCTTTCACTAGTCATATTATTTATTGAAAATAAAAGCGATGAATTTAGAGAGGATACATAGTCTGTTTTATTATGAAGCAATGCAAATGAGTTAGTAAAAATTAAAAAGTAGTTCTTTAGTAAACAAAGTTCTTTGCTTAAAATATTGCTTTGTTCCACTGGTCTGCATATGAATATCAGATGCCTTGCAACTGTAAAAGAAAA